AAAAAAAAAAAAAAAAAAAAAAAAAAAAAAAAAAAAAAAAAAAAAAAAAAAAAAAAAAAAAAAAAAAAAAAAAAAAAAAAAAAAAAAAAAAAAAAAAAAAAAAAAAAAAAAAAAAAAAAAAAAAAAAAAAAAAAAAAAAAAAAAAAAAAAAAAAAAAAAAAAAAAAAAAAAAAAAAAAAAAAAAAAAAAAAAAAAAAAAAAAAAAAAAAAAAAAAAAAAAAAAAAAAAAAAAAAAAAAAAAAAAAAAAAAAAAAAAAAAAAAAAAAAAAAAAAAAAAAAAAAAAAAAAAAAAAAAAAAAAAAAAAAAAAAAAAAAAAAAAAAAAAAAAAAAAAAAAAAAAAAAAAAAAAAAAAAAAAAAAAAAAAAAAAAAAAAAAAAAAAAAAAAAAAAAAAAAAAAAAAAAAAAAAAAAAAAAAAAAAAAAAAAAAAAAAAAAAAAAAAAAAAAAAAAAAAAAAAAAAAAAAAAAAAAAAAAAAAAAAAAAAAAAAAAAAAAAAAAAAAAAAAAAAAAAAAAAAAAAAAAAAAAAAAAAAAAAAAAAAAAAAAAAAAAAAAAAAAAAAAAAAAAAAAAAAAAAAAAAAAAAAAAAAAAAAAAAAAAAAAAAAAAAAAAAAAAAAAAAAAAAAAAAAAAAAAAAAAAAAAAAAAAAAAAAAAAAAAAAAAAAAAAAAAAAAAAAAAAAAAAAAAAAAAAAAAAAAAAAAAAAAAAAAAAAAAAAAAAAAAAAAAAAAAAAAAAAAAAAAAAAAAAAAAAAAAAAAAAAAAAAAAAAAAAAAAAAAAAAAAAAAAAAAAAAAAAAAAAAAAAAAAAAAAAAAAAAAAAAAAAAAAAAAAAAAAAAAAAAAAAAAAAAAAAAAAAAAAAAAAAAAAAAAAAAAAAAAAAAAAAAAAAAAAAAAAAAAAAAAAAAAAAAAAAAAAAAAAAAAAAAAAAAAAAAAAAAAAAAAAAAAAAAAAAAAAAAAAAAAAAAAAAAAAAAAAAAAAAAAAAAAAAAAAAAAAAAAAAAAAAAAAAAAAAAAAAAAAAAAAAAAAAAAAAAAAAAAAAAAAAAAAAAAAAAAAAAAAAAAAAAAAAAAAAAAAAAAAAAAAAAAAAAAAAAAAAAAAAAAAAAAAAAAAAAAAAAAAAAAAAAAAAAAAAAAAAAAAAAAAAAAAAAAAAAAAAAAAAAAAAAAAAAAAAAAAAAAAAAAAAAAAAAAAAAAAAAAAAAAAAAAAAAAAAAAAAAAAAAAAAAAAAAAAAAAAAAAAAAAAAAAAAAAAAAAAAAAAAAAAAAAAAAAAAAAAAAAAAAAAAAAAAAAAAAAAAAAAAAAAAAAAAAAAAAAAAAAAAAAAAAAAAAAAAAAAAAAAAAAAAAAAAAAAAAAAAAAAAAAAAAAAAAAAAAAAAAAAAAAAAAAAAAAAAAAAAAAAAAAAAAAAAAAAAAAAAAAAAAAAAAAAAAAAAAAAAAAAAAAAAAAAAAAAAAAAAAAAAAAAAAAAAAAAAAAAAAAAAAAAAAAAAAAAAAAAAAAAAAAAAAAAAAAAAAAAAAAAAAAAAAAAAAAAAAAAAAAAAAAAAAAAAAAAAAAAAAAAAAAAAAAAAAAAAAAAAAAAAAAAAAAAAAAAAAAAAAAAAAAAAAAAAAAAAAAAAAAAAAAAAAAAAAAAAAAAAAAAAAAAAAAAAAAAAAAAAAAAAAAAAAAAAAAAAAAAAAAAAAAAAAAAAAAAAAAAAAAAAAAAAAAAAAAAAAAAAAAAAAAAAAAAAAAAAAAAAAAAAAAAAAAAAAAAAAAAAAAAAAAAAAAAAAAAAAAAAAAAAAAAAAAAAAAAAAAAAAAAAAAAAAAAAAATAAAAAAAAAAAAAAAAAAAAAAAAAAAAAAAAAAAAAAAAAAAAAAAAAAAAAAAAAAAAAAAAAAAAAAAAAAAAAAAAAAAAAAAAAAAAAAAAAAAAAAAAAAAAAAAAAAAAAAAAAAAAAAAAAAAAAAAAAAAAAAAAAAAAAAAAAAAAAAAAAAAAAAAAAAAAAAAAAAAAAAAAAAAAAAAAAAAAAAAAAAAAAAAAAAAAAAAAAAAAAAAAAAAAAAAAAAAAAAAAAAAAAAAAAAAAAAAAAAAAAAAAAAAAAAAAAAAAAAAAAAAAAAAAAAAAAAAAAAAAAAAAAAAAAAAAAAAAAAAAAAAAAAAAAAAAAAAAAAAAAAAAAAAAAAAAAAAAAAAAAAAAAAAAAAAAAAAAAAAAAAAAAAAAAAAAAAAAAAAAAAAAAAAAAAAAAAAAAAAAAAAAAAAAAAAAAAAAAAAAAAAAAAAAAAAAAAAAAAAAAAAAAAAAAAAAAAAAAAAAAAAAAAAAAAAAAAAAAAAAAAAAAAAAAAAAAAAAAAAAAAAAAAAAAAAAAAAAAAAAAAAAAAAAAAAAAAAAAAAAAAAAAAAAAAAAAAAAAAAAAAAAAAAAAAAAAAAAAAAAAAAAAAAAAAAAAAAAAAAAAAAAAAAAAAAAAAAAAAAAAAAAAAAAAAAAAAAAAAAAAAAAAAAAAAAAAAAAAAAAAAAAAAAAAAAAAAAAAAAAAAAAAAAAAAAAAAAAAAAAAAAAAAAAAAAAAAAAAAAAAAAAAAAAAAAAAAAAAAAAAAAAAAAAAAAAAAAAAAAAAAAAAAAAAAAAAAAAAAAAAAAAAAAAAAAAAAAAAAAAAAAAAAAAAAAAAAAAAAAAAAAAAAAAAAAAAAAAAAAAAAAAAAAAAAAAAAAAAAAAAAAAAAAAAAAAAAAAAAAAAAAAAAAAAAAAAAAAAAAAAAAAAAAAAAAAAAAAAAAAAAAAAAAAAAAAAAAAAAAAAAAAAAAAAAAAAAAAAAAAAAAAAAAAAAAAAAAAAAAAAAAAAAAAAAAAAAAAAAAAAAAAAAAAAAAAAAAAAAAAAAAAAAAAAAAAAAAAAAAAAAAAAAAAAAAAAAAAAAAAAAAAAAAAAAAAAAAAAAAAAAAAAAAAAAAAAAAAAAAAAAAAAAAAAAAAAAAAAAAAAAAAAAAAAAAAAAAAAAAAAAAAAAAAAAAAAAAAAAAAAAAAAAAAAAAAAAAAAAAAAAAAAAAAAAAAAAAAAAAAATATTCCAACAGTCTGAAAAAGTGGAATTTATCTAACTTCATAGATTGCTTGAAGGAAGATTGTTGATAAATATTTCTGTTCCAAGTTGATGTGCTTCTCCAACCCAGTCTGGAGAAAGGCCCCATATTTCCTCTGATCATTAACCTGTACAAGATTTAAATTACACCTTTCCATCCATTCCAGAAGGGAAGCTTTATTGTCTTTATGCAGAGAATTAATACAAGCCTCGCTGTCAGCGTTCATGCTGACAGCTCCCCGGTCTCCTCCATGGGCCATAATCAGTGAGTGAAAAGATAGCCCTTAGTCCCCTCCAAAAGCTCCTTCCCTGGTTGGGTCTGTCACACAGTAATAGTGGTAGAAATACCACTAACATAAATGATGTTCAGCTCTGTCTAAACAGGCTAAAAATCCAGCATTTGGATGAACGCTCGGATAGCAAATGTTTGGTTCGATCATGGGCTCATCTCTAATCAGGAAAAAGGGAAGCAGTGCCCAGGCAAACCACAGGCAGCTGCAAAATACTTTCCCTGTATCAGAAGGTCTGTATATTAGTTCACAACTTCAAGTGCAAGGGCAGGGCAAGAAAGAAATTAATTTCAATTAATTCACTTTCAGGATACAGTTATTATTTACTTTTTTGTGAAAATGTTGTCTGGTTTAGCTGCATTAAAAAATGGCAATGCTTGAGTTTCATTGCACTGTCCACTTATCAGCTATATACAGGTATAAGGTTAAAACAAACTACTGTACAGTATAGGGATTAATAAAAATTTAGGGTCTCAGGCAGTTAAAGCGGAGGTCCAGTGGGAATTTAAAAAAAAAAAGTCAGCAGCTACAAAAACTGTAGCTGCTGACTTTTAAAAAAAGGACACTCACCTGTCCCTCAATCCCACGGTGTCCTCACACCATTCAGGTTGACCAACCGGCCTGTCCCCTCAATGCCAGCATGTTCAATGTGGGCACCCAGCTGTGACAGCTTGCGACTTCACAGCTGGGTGCCCACTGCACATGTGCGGGAAGCATTGCGTTTTGTGAATGGTCCTGTAGTCTTCTAGGTCCTGTCATGTATCCCAGAAGACTACGGGGAGGGAGGATAACTTTTGCTTCCAATCGCCTAGTGGAAGTGGGAACAGGTACCTATCAAATTTGGGTACTGCCTCCATTCCACTCCCCAAAGGTGCCAATCCTTAAAGGGGAGTGGGGAACAAAGCCTTAAAGCGGAACTTCCCTTTTTTGGGTGGAGCTCCTCTTTAAGGAATGTGGTACCAAAATTACCAAACCCAATGTATATGGTTCACCAAGGGAAGCTACAGTATATTCAGCTTGTGGGAAAAACTGCTTTATTGGCTTAACCCTTAAAGAGGAACTTGATTCAAAAATGTTCTTCCAGTTTTTGGAGAGTGGAGAAGGACTGGAAACATCTCCACTTTGGAATGAAACTATTTGACTTTTTTTGGGGTCACTGTCCTGGGCTTTAAGTGAAGGGAAACCTAAAATGCTATAGCTGTCAAGGGAACAGGAGCAAGAAAGAAAGCTCATTGTTCTCATAATAACAGTCAAAGGCGTTGTACCCCTCACTTTTGGAAGTTTTCCTCTCACTTCCTGTTGAGTCTCAGGGGCAGGAACACACACATAATAAAAAAAAGGAGAGTTTTAATTTTCCCTTCTCTAACAGAGTTAGGTAATAAAAATTTGCTTGTACCTCTTCTATAGAGAATCTAAACTCTAGCTGGACAACATTTAATTGCATAAGCAATTACCAAGTTGTTCTTTAGTTGTTACTAAACCCAGGACCCTGCATTCAATATATCTGGTCTCCCACAGTACACACAACATGGAAATGCGATTATTTTAGTAAATATAAACTGCTAAATACCTTTTCTCTTCAGCTGTATATAGCAGTCTTGTGACTTCAATCACTGCCCAGCTGAGCACTGGATAAAGGTTGACTGTCCTATGAGGCTGAATGACCCCTGACACCGTGTCTGGACAGCACTAATTGGCCCTGTGCTGATCACATGCACCCTCCCAAAGAAAAAAAAAAAACTCTCTAGCAATACACAATAAACTGAGCATGTGTAGAGTGACTCCTAGAGGATCAGAGAAGATAGGATCAAACAGACTTTTTACACAATGCAGGGGATTAACCCCTTAGGTTCCACAGTGAGTAGAGCAAGCATGCTTTACTGCATATACAGACTGATTTTACTGTTGTGGGTTTAATAACACTTTAAGAAATAACAGTTTTCACACCTTTCAACTTTTTTGCATCTCAGTGCTGCTGATCCCCTTCAGCCCTTTTCAGCTACTTTTTGTCTGTCCTGTCAATGGTGGGATAAGAATGCATACTGAGAGACAGTACTGGGACTTGTAGACTCCAGTAGAAGCTGTGTAACAAGGTAATTATGCAGGAGAGCAATTGGGAGACAGGGACAGAGCATTGTCACAAGCACCTGAAGAAGGACCTTCATGGCAGGATTACAAGGTATTATTTTAATGCAAACTATAATTTAAAAAAAATATTGAAAAGGGCTTTGGAAATTATGTTAATATGGTAAATAGTATACAAGATTTTAGTAATTGGGTTTCCATCTACTTTAGGCTTGGCTTGAATGTATAGGGTAATGCCCCTGAATGCATGCCTAAACAAATGCCATTTTAACAGATAGGAAGTTATTTAAATAGTATAATATTAAATAGGCTCAAGTTCCTCATTCAGTCCTTGGACATTTGCCAGAGCAATTTAAACCAAGCCTTTTTTCCTGTATGCTATCAGTAACTATGTATAATGGTATCTATACTAAAACATACACAAAGGTTATAGGATTACCTGTCAGACTCACAGAAGATAACATTCTTAAAGTTACGCCTGGTACACACTACTAGTCTTTTTTTTGTTCAAACCAGCGGGCTGAACAAAAAAAAAAAAACTGACAGCTCAGGAGGAGCCGCTATACTGACTATCCAATTTTAGTACAGCGATCTCCCCTGCTGTGGTATTGTGTTCTGCCAGGGGGAACCCCCCCACCCCTGCTAGAACACTCTGGTCAGTGCTGTCAGCCATTGGCAGAAAGTGCTAATCAGGAGCCAATTGGCAGACCTTTTTCAGGCATGTCCCTTCGACAGAAGATGGCCGAACAGCCAGTGTGTATTGGAACGGCTGCTGTAGACACTGGTCGAATGTCGGCTAGTTTTCTATTGAACTGGCCGATGCCACCTGGCATTCGGCTCATGTGTCCTAGGCTTTAAGGTCATGAATATTTATTCAGTCTGAGTAATGAATAAAATGCTCTGAAAAGTTATACAACATAAAGTACAGAATAATACTGAAACTAACCCATGCCATGCTACAGAGGCTGAAGATCTTGCAGAAAGCCTTGCTTAGTATAGACAGGAGATGGAAGATGCCCATCTTTATGGGTAATCAGTTGGTCATTATACAGGATCATCCAGGCCACCAGGACCAACAGGAGCTCCTCATATTAGCACTAAAAAATATAACAGTCAAGTATCAGCCATAAACAGCCCTAACATACTTGCAAAATACATAAAAGTTGCACAGTAAATACAACCATAACTATTCATAAATAAAATAATTATAGCAATAAAAATGTATATATTGAAAAAACACTCAGAATGAGAACCCTGCCCTATGGAGTTTACAATTTTGAAGGTGAAGAGAATAGGGTAGGAATGGTAAAAGAACCAGCATCAGTTATATTATAGGAAGCAGTATAGTGAAAAGAAAAATCAGGAATTATTATGTCATGTCTCCGAAAAAAGATAGAGGTGATTGGTTTAGCAGTTCTACATTCTCGATAGCTGCTGATATTGCAATTCACAGTCTAAGAGCAGTTTACCATGTGCATGACAAGTGTAAGAAATAATTCCCTGAAAGTGTGATCGTATAGACACACTCATGTACAGGTCTGTTATATCTGAACTCATTTACAGCTTGGCTAAATATATAACTCCTCAATAAATAAAATAGTGATTCAATTGCCAAGCTATATTTACTAAACATGCAATGTGATCTCCCAATACATAAGGATTGAATGTAACAAACACATACCTGTGTATGTTTCTGCAGTGGTCTTCCTGTGGTTATGTGATAACATATGCAGTATAGCAGTCTTGCTTTAATACTTAGAGTAGTCCCTAATGCTTCTCAAGCTGCCGCTAAACAAATCCTTTGTAAGGAAATGTGTTTTTACCAGTCTTTATGTAAGCTGCTTAAAAGAGGTAGTACCAAGCACTGCATGATTCTGCTAAGAATTTTCTATAAGCTTTATGTTGTGTTTAGGCTTAAAACAACCATTTACAGGATGACCATTCCTGATGACAGCGTTGCACTTTTTTTTTTCACTATAATGGTCTAAAAATTATGTGGTGGGAAACAGAGGTAAAACATTTCAGTAATGCTGCCTACCACAATGCTTCATAGCTCAAATTGGATAATAAACTTGAATAGGAGGACTTGTGCTCTCACTACAGAAAATGGCAGCTACAGGGGTATGTTCTCATAAAGGACATCCAAACCCAAAAATGTATTTTTTGAAGCTTGCTAGTCTATGGATGTGGTGGCTGCATGCACTTTCAAGGTTTTCCTTTGCTTTCACCTGACTATTCTGCAAATAACAAACTTTCTGTCCTTGGGTGCCTACACTCACAGTATCTATGGAGGAAGCAAAGGTTGCCCCCAGGCTGGATTTTAAATATATCTGCCTTTGTTCATCTCCATAATGTGAGGGCATTAGAAGTTTACATTGTTCTATCCTTGCTTGCAAATTCATAGGTGCACTGCATGTCAGGCAAGATCAACAGGTATTTTCTGTACTTGTAACAGCCCTGCCATATTCAGGAGAGAATCTATTGTAAATCTAATATTCCCTTGAATGATTTATGTACCCTTTTTTCTGTACGTTCTCCTTAACTAACATTAATTATTTGCTTCTTCCTGCTGCTGTTGGGTGTCCCTGGCAATAGTGTGGGAGGCGATGTTACCCTGAGTTGTGAATATTTATATTCCCCGTGGCCAAGCACTAGGAGGTTTATGGCCAGTTCTGCATGCAGGCATGATAAGTTTTGAAAGAATGTCCAGGAAGCTCTCTAACCTCCTAGGATCTGCCCTGGGGAGGATGTGTACTGCCTATCTTGACCTCCCAAGCCTCCCAGGCCTGCTGCCTAGGGAAGATTAAAGAAAGAAGAAAGACCAGGTCCATAACCCTGAAGTTTGATGCTGCCCTTCTGCAGAGGGAAGTTTCATACCAAGAGAATCCTGGAGGGCTGGGCACAAAATGATTCCAATAAAACCTGCAGGAAACCAGAACTACTAATATTGCTGGTCTTGGCTTTTCTCCATTTGAGCTAGTCGTGGAAAGAACCTTTTTTAACCTGATGGGTATTCCTACAAACCATAATCCTAACTTGCACAGAGTTGAACAAATAAACTTCTCACTGTGCAAAGATTGACAGAGTTGAGGTCCATTACTCAGTTGCTGCTGAAGGTAATAAGTATTGTGGGGCATTTATGAAACTGTTAATCCTAAAGGGGCTAGGAGGGACCCAAAAAGCCAGCAGTTTCTCTGGGGGTCCCTTTACATGTTCCTAGCTCAAAAAACCAAATAAATGCAGCTGCCACATCCAAGGACTGGTAAGATGCAATACATTACATTTTTTGTGCTTGGGTTTAGCTATGTTGTAAGCTGTTGTTCACTAATGAAGTGTGTTGAAGGGTCAATGAAATATAAGTTTTCTGTGACGATGGTGAGCCTAATAATCACTGGTTTTATCATTTATTTCTCAAGAACTTCATCCACAAAGCTGCCAGAATTCATGGCTTTGAATTTGCTATCAGGGGTGGACTGACCATTTGGAAACTCAGGCACTGCCCGAGGGCCCGAGGTCATTAGGGGGCCCCATGAGATGCCCCTGGTACCTTTTTCATAGGCTTTTTTGAGTTTGGGCAAGGACACAGGGGCCCCATGATCCCCTATTGCCCAGGGGCCCCATGAGGTGTCAGTTTGCCCGTTTGCTATGGAGACTCACGCCATAGGAGGAATCGTATAATGGAATCCACTTCAGCATCAGTAATATCTTACTGCACTCTGCATCAAATAAAATAAGTTGAAAATTCAGAAAAGATCTCCTCATAAAGGCCATAGCAGTCACCTGGCAAACTCTGGTGCAGAGTACAGTGACAGGAAATCCTGAGCGATAAAAGAAGATGGTGGGTGATTCAAACAACTGGGATCAACATCACAGGGATAAGTGTCCTCTTCCTGTCCCTGAACCCCTGGCACTGTGATGGTTAACATCACCCCCCCCCCTTCATTTAGAAAAATTATTTCATTGATTACACTGCTTGTACCATAATCTGTGAATGGAGGAGAGTCTGATCAGTCACAGGATTCTCTCCCCAATTCTCAGATCGAGTTACAAGCAGTGTAATCAATGAAAGAACATTTCTTAATGGAGGAGGAGGAAGGATGGGGCGTGTCCCTGTCATACCATCTGTATTGATGTTCTGCCCAGGGGCGGACTGACAACTCATGGGGCCCCCGGGCAATAGGGGATCATGGGGCCCCTGTGTCCTTGTCCAAACTCAAAAAAAGCCTATGAAAAAGGTACCAGGGGCATCTCATGGGGCCCCCTACTGACCCCGGGCCCTCAGGCAGTGCCTGAGTTTCCAAATGGTCAGTCCGCCCCTGGTTCTGCCTGAAGACCCGAAGCTATTAATTAATGCAGTGCAACAGGTTCAGGGACAGGTAGAGGACAGGCATCCCTACAGTGAAGATTTCTGCAGGATTCTGCTGTCCGCACAATATGGGACATACTTCATTCCAATTAAGTAATTTGACTAAAGTTGTAGGTATTTATTTTTCGTAGGCAAACTTCAGTTTTAAGCTTAAGATAGTGTAACAAATGGAAAAGTCAGTTTATATGTGAGAGTTGACACTGGGAAAGACAGTTGTACCAAGAAAAAGGTGCCTGACAAGCTGGGCCAATCTAAAATACACAATTATAATCTTGGGGTTTACTACTATAGGACAGTTTTGCTCATTTGAGATATTATTCCCCCTAGTGTAGA